CAAAGCCACGGCACTTGAAATTCTTTAAGGCATTATTAGATTAAATTGATCTACGAGACCTTTTTATTAGCGATATTTTTGTGCGCCCGCAATACAAGGCGTGGGGCGCGCGTATACCCCATTCGATTTTATTACTTACTCATCAGGATCTCTACATGCCTTCCCTCAAATTGAAATTCTTATAGGCAGGATTAGAGTAAATTGATCTATGAGATCTTGGGCATGACCAAATACATCAATCGAAAGGGTTTGACCTCCTGAGTCCAAAACTGTAATTAGATCTCAAATCGTTGAAGAGATAACGGAGCTGTGAGTTAAAAGTTTGTACTTAAAAACTCAAAGCTGTTCCATGAGCCGCTATGCCACGGCTAAAAATTCGGAAGGTTAAAGTGACCAAATAATAATGTATGTTGGTAGAACATTAAGGTCCTAATTCCTTCCTAAGAACAATTATACATTCGTGTTTATACATTATCAATACTTGTTATCAGCAGAACATAGCAAAATGCATCATTAATTTTACTAAAATAAAACTCTAAAAGCCGTTCATTAATGAATAAGGGGAATAAAAATGCCTCAAAGAAAGTAAATCGAAAAATTATTATATCAGAAGATTCAGGGTCTTGCGTTAAAAAAGAAAAAGTACTAAGTGGTCCCCCGGTGGGACAGCGGTAAGTTTGCGGACTTATAACCCTAAACTTCGGGGGTCGATTCCCTGCGGTGGACATAGCAGATAGCCCAATGTAACTTTGCTATAAAACAAACAAAGAAGTGGGTGTTTATACTCTATAACGTTGATTGTTAGGCGTAGCAAACTGATGAGTAACTTTGCACTCAGAAATAAGGCGTAGATTAACTTTCAAATTAAAATTTAAGGCTTACATGTTTTGTCTTATACGTTTACAAAGAAGTACGTCACAACATAATCTAACGTATAAATTCCAGAAATTATGAATCTGGAAATTATGTTTTACATAATTTAATGAACAAACACAATCAATGAAAATGTTCAACATGCACCTGAAGTTTAATTTTTTTTTAATTATTTACAAAAAATGGATCACGTTGTTCGAGCGAAAAGCATAGTGACTAGGAGCATATAAAATTACCTAATCACTACATTAATGCTCTTTTAATAAAGTTGTTTAAAAATCATTTTCTTCTATGCAAATGATTTTCCAAGTTCAATAAAATGCTTTTAATTTACGTTTTGCAAAACAATATAGTTACATACTGATAATCTAAAACATGTATACTAATACGATCAATAGACTTGTTTGTTAACTCATTAAGAACTGTTGTTTAGTAGTTAATAATGTCAGTTCTCAAAGTTTCTGCAATCAAAATGGCAAACCTAGCATAAATCATGTAGCGTCCTTGTTTCGAACTGCCATCAAGCAGTCAAAGGTCATTGTAGTTCACTGAAATATAAGTTACTTTCGAAAGCACAGGAAAAAAAAGGTCACCATTAATGAAGCGCTGTCTATCTGGTTATGTATAATATTCCGTAAATCACTTAATGTGAAATGTTTAGCATGGGAATTAATGAACCCTTTTTACTTGAAATTCAGTACAAGATTTAAATAAACAAAAACATATATTCGACAATACAGTTAATTGACCTTTTCCTATATAAGAATGTAAATAGTTTGACAAACAAACATATATGTAAAATTGTTAGCTCACTATTTTACAACGTATTTAAATATTTCTTTTTTTTTTTGCGAATTCACACATTATGACAGTTCGAATGTCAAGCGCAATTAATTCGAATCTAGTAAATTTGAAAAGTTAAACAGTAAATATAAAAACCAAATGAAGTTATTCAAGAGCTTGTGTTGAAAATAATGAATATAAAGAACCAAATGGAATTATTCAAGAGCTTGTGTTGAAAATAGTGAATATAAAGAACCAAATGAAACTATTCAAGATCTTGTGTTGAAAATAGTGAATATAAAGAACCAAATGAAACTATTCAAGATCTTGTGTTGAAAATAGTGAATATAAAGAACCAAATGAAACTATTCAAGATCTTGTGTTGAAAATAGTGAATATAAAGAACCAAATGAAACTATTCAAGATCTTGTGTTGAAAATAGTGCTATTAAAATAGAAATGTTGATTATATTGTAAATACTTTATTCTGGTAGATTAGGGTAAATATTTTTTTATCATGTAAATCGTGTGTTTATTTGTTTGTTCTTAAGTGCAACGCTGAACAATGGGCTATCTGTGCCTTGCCCACCATGGGTATCAAAACCCGGTTTTTAGCGTTATAAATTCTCAGACATTCCGCTGAGCCACTGAAGGGCAAATCATGGAATTATAATGGCTATAAAAATCTTTATGTTTGTAATTTATTTTTGATTAGAAACTTTTGGTGTAGTTTGTGTGTGTTTTTTGCTAATAGATACACAACCGGATATTTCCACTCTGTCCACTGCGGAGAATCGAACCCCTGATTTTAGCGTTGTAAGTCCGAGGGATATTGCAGTAAAATTACTCAACGGTTCTATTCTTATTACTGTTTCTTTGATTGTCAGTTCCTGTAACATAAATGTAATATAGACGCTTAGCAAGATCACTTCAGTTTAGGTATTGATGTTAAGCAAGTGCACGATAATAACGTATTAAACCATAGTAACTTAAACTTGTTGACCTTTATATTTTTATATAACTTACCTTCGTAATTCACTAGCCCATCACCATCTGCGTCAGCCTCCTTGATCATGTCTTCTACGTCATCCTCCGTGAGCTTCTCGCCAAGATTAATCATTACGTGACTTAGTTCTGTTGAACTAATGAAACCGTCCCCATCCCTATCAAACACCCTAAAAGCCTCGCGCAACTCTTCCTCCCGATCAGACTCTTTCATCTTCTTCGACATCATAAAAAGGAATTCGTTAAACTCGATTGTTCCGTTACCTATATATATACAGGGAACAAACATGTCAAAAGCTTATTAAAATTATATTTAACGTACAACTGGTGTCCTGTTAATAACTTGCTTTTCCATCTAGAATTCCCAACATTAAAAACTCATCCTTTTATAACTTGAATGAGGCAGAAAACTTCAATTTCATAAATATGATTGATATACTTAACACTGTAGTGTGTACCATCGCATAGCAAGTATGTTAATAATCTCTTTATAATGACGGTGAATAACATGACTACTGCATAAACATACATAATTAACACAAAACTAAAAGGAAATTTGGGAATTCTTATGTATTAATTTACCTATTTACAAAAAACTTCATTCTTTACGAAATTAAAACAAGTGTGTGTGTTTATTATTAAGATACTCTTTAAACTAAATACTTTTCGCAATCTGTCGTTCTCGATTACAGCACCACCTACCGTCTTGATCCACCATTTCAACCATGTTACACAGCTCCTTTTCTGTTGGCTTTTGTCCAAGAGACCTCATGACAACTCCCAGCTCTGTGGCTGTTATCCGACCGTCCGAGTCCTTGTCGAACAGCATATAAGCCTCCCTGAATTCTGATCGAATATAAAACATAGTATATGGAGAAGTTGCTTTACATTAATACTGTCAATATTACACCTTTTTACGTTCTTCTCGATAATCAATACTGTCAATATTACACATTTTTACTTTCTTCTCGATAATCAATACTGTCAATATTACACATTTTACTTTCTTCTCGATAATCAATACTGTCAATATTACACATTTTTACTTTCTTCTCGATAATCAATACTGTCAATATTACACCTTTTTACTTTCTTCTCGATAATCAATACTGTCAATATTACATATTTTT